TAAAATTTTATTATAAAAATTAATTTTAAAAAAATTGACGCAGGCAAATTTGCCTGTGTTACAATCTAAGGGATAGCTTAGTAGTCTAGATGTTTCTTTTTTTACAGACAAGATCAACAGTTCAATTCTAGCTAGAGGCAAAAAACTTTGTAATCTACAAAAGCATATAAATATATACAAAGCTTTGTAACTAAGTTTATATAAATAAAAGATTAGTGTATAAGGAAGTTCTCAAAAAAAAGTTTCCTAATATGGAAAGTTGGTGCTTGATGCAAAAGAAGCAGAGAACATTTCAGAAATAGAGAAAAGACACACTAGCAAATGATACAATAAACATAAAAAAGTTACAGAAAAGAACTGAAATTTGAACATTTCTGATATTAAAATCAGTTTAGTAGATATAAGATATACTAAATTGGATTTAAAAAAGGGAATGGGGTCCCGTAGCCTAGTAGTCTAGGCGCCCCTTCCTCTACAGACAAGGTTGACAGTTCAATTCCAGCTGAAGGCAACTCTGTAATTTATGAAAGCATATGAATATACGTAAAGTCTTGTGGTTAAGTCCATATGATTAAAAGATTAATATATAAGAAAGTTTCTGAAAAAAAGATTCCTGATATAAGGAGTTGGCATTCAATAGGAGAGAAACAGTGAACATACCAGAAATAGAGGATGGCTAAAGCAGTGCAGAATCATGTAATCGAGAGAAAAATTTTTATTGGCCAGATTATGATTGGCAAATTGAATAAATTTCACCGACTATGTAATCTTATTAAAAAAAAATGTTTTGCAATTAGTTTAGAATTAGGGTCCCAACAGTAGGTTAATGTTTGGTTTAAAAGATTATAATTATAGTAAAATTTCATAAGGAATTTTTTTTGTTAGTACATAGAAGGCACTTTCATAGGCAAAATTTTGAGCTACGAGCATTTTTTTGTTGATTTAATTGTTTTTGCCTTTTTGTATTACACGAGATCTTGAAATATAATTGGCTAGCAACTGGTGATTTAACTGTTATTAGCAGATTGTTTGATCTCTAAAAAAAAAAATTAGATTGTAACCCAAACTCTCAGCAAGCTTTTGACTTAACCATGGTACTGTTTGCTTTGACCTTCTTTATGACCTTGTATTTTTTTTACTACGTGTCATATATTGTATTTTTTTTTTTTATACCATTGAGAAGACATTTCTTTGATTTCTTCTGTCTTTTTTTTTTTTTTTTTGTGGATACTTTCTTTTTTTTTTTTTTTGTGGCCACTTTCCACTTTTTTTTTTTTTTTTTGTAGATACTTTTCACTTTTTTTTGTAGATACTTCTACTTTTTTTGTTATTTTTTTTATTATTGTAAGCGAAAGATGAACATAGACTTAGCTTATACTGCTGTCTCTTTAGCAGCTATATCAATAACGAATCTCATTTTAGATGAAAAACGAAGCCTTCTTTTCGATATAAACTTTCTATTGGAGATCCTAATGGATGATTTTGATAATACTTGGTAGTCTTTGGTTACTAATATTTGAATGCAATAGAATGGATATAAAAGTGTGAATGGTGATGTTTCGAAAGTATTCGCCTGCTGCTTTACAAAACATCAGAATTCGAGTACTTGTAAAAAAGAAAATATTCCGATAGAGAAATGCTGAGTGACAAAAATATAACCTTCGGGACTATGTGAAGCGAAAGTAAAAGTTTTGTAGTTAGTTTTATTAAATAAAGTGAAAGTTGAATGCCACAAAAATTCCCCAAATCATGCATATTTCTTGGAGAAAGTAAATAAAATCAAACGTTTCAAAGCAATCCAAACATTTGTGAAGCATAAAGCAGTTAAAAATTAGTTACCCCTAGCGATAATTGCTGCCATTAAAGAATATGTGACAGTTAAATTGGGTCTGGATTCTAGTATGCATGAACTAAAATGAAAGAAAGTAGCCAACATTAAGAGTAAAGTTCGTGAGTCTGTAGAATCTCATCTTGTTGGTGATTCTAGTTTTAGAGTAGATTTTTTAGATTCTAAATCATATTTAATAGAACAAGGGTACCAGGTAGAGGACTATCGTGTTCCTCAACAAAATGCTAGAGGCATAGTTTTTGCACATCCTGCTTAGCTAAAGAAACTTCAGAATCACAAGTGGTTAACACTTATCGATTCCACTTATAAGACAAACAAATATGATTAGTGTTTTTTCACCCTCTATGTTTGTGATCCCATAGTTGTTGGGATATAGATGCTCACTTTTTTGTTAGTGTTGAAGATAGTAACACCATTGGAGAAGTATTAAAAATAATTTATAGCAAGTTTTGTCGCTGGCCTCCCTGATATGTACTTTCTGATCAAAGTAGTATCAAAGCAAATGGTGTCAAAAAAGTGTTTCCTGGAGTAAACACTGATGAACAAGAATGTGATCTGATTCTCTGTGTTGTCCACGTAATAAGAGTTTGGTTGGGCAAAATCTATGAAAAAGAACCTCGAGACATTATGATTGTGGCAATGCATAAAAAAACAAAAATTAGATATGAAAAATTAATTCAAAAAGCTATTAACTGCAGTACCATTCCTGCTGTTTGGAATTATATTGAAAGAAACTACCAAAAAAATAGTCAGCAGTAGGCCTTGTAGACACGCCAACATTCTCCTCTGCTTTTGCAGGTTACCTCTACAAACTCATTGAAATCTTACCATAGTGAATTAAAGAGAACAACATCATTATTTCATGCGTTAATAGGTAAAATGATTTACTGTATGCACACATCTCTAATTATGGATCATAGCAAACATTCATATAATTGGCAGTTTAATCAATTTAATTTTACATTATTTATACAGTTTAAAGTACCTTTTTAAAAAAATAAAACTACAAAGAATAAACAAAAAAGAAGTAAACTATATTTTTTTTTTGTTTATTTTTTGTAGTTTTATTTTTTTAAAAAGGTACTTTAAACTGTATAAATAATGTAAAATTAAATTGATTAAACTGCCAATTATATGAATGTCTGTCTATGAAATCATGAATATGTTTTTTTTTTAATTTTGAGAAATTAAACTTTTTAAAAAAAGTCAAATTTTTCATTTTCTCTTTATCTAATTTTAAGTGCTGCTTACAATATTGTCACTATTGATACTAAAAAATAATCTGATTCAGAGAGTATCATGTTTGAATTTTATATTAAAAAAATATCTGCATATGGTATGGCAAGTGATGTTCTTGAGAAAATTCGCAAATTTCCTTATCTCTTTTAGAAATTATTGGTAAAAGAAGCCTGCACTGTTATGTACAGACTCGAAAAAAGTAAAGGTGCTCTAGATCTAATTTCACTTGAGTGCCATTGCCTATTTCGAAATTGTTATTTATTGCCTTGTAAGCATATCTTCCATGAACATACATATGGTGCCACAAGGTTATTGACCCCCGACACATAAAAAATGTTTCAAGGAATATTCGAAGAAAGTGGTTTTGAAGTATACAAACATCATGAATTAGTAATGAAAGAAATCACAAAAATGGAACAACAAAAAAAAGCAAAAAATTTGAAGCTTACCATATATGAGCTACATGAAAGAGTACAAGACAAATATTGGCATACAGTGGCGAATGGCAATAATAAGAAAATGGTGACTTTCATTTCAATATTAGAAGCCTTTATTAATTTGTTTTTATTAGAATTTGATTATTTAACTATAAATAATTAAAAAATTATTATTGTTAGATGGATGGGCAGGTAAAGTGGTCTTAAGGACAAAAAAAAACAGAAGCCTGTTGGGTGGGTGAGTGGGCAAAGTGGCCTTAGGTCAGAACAGTAGACAAAGATAGGTAGATAAGCGAGTTAATTGGTCTTGTAAATATGCAAAGTAGTTTTATAAACCAAAATAAATAAAATTATAATTCTTACCTATGTGCTTTAAATTCTTGCATTAACAAATGCATTATTGAAATCTTAAATATAAATAAAATTTCTTAGGATTAGTAATTTTATTTGATAGTTAATATTTTGAATGAATATATCTTAGCAATCACTAATAGGTTATTGTTAGAATTAAATTTAATTAGGTGGTTGCTAAGATATCTTTGCTCAAAATTCAAAATAGTTTTGGCACAGCTTCTATTTAGTTAGACATTTAAAATTTTGAACAAAAATATCTTAGCAACTACCTAATAGAATTTAATTAATTTTATTTTATTTTAATTTTACTGATTCTTAGAATAGAAATAATAAAAAAAAAATTTATTGAATTCTACTAGGTGGCTACTGAGATATTTTTGTTCAAAGTTTAAAATAGTTTTGGTGCAGCTTTAATTTAGTCAGGTGTTTAAAACTTTGAATGAAGATATCACTGCAACTACTTAGTAAAATTTAATAAAATCTTTTTATTTTGACTCTATGAATTTGTTAAATTAGATCAAAAAAATTTTTATCGAATTCTACTAGGTGGTTGCAGAGATATTTTTGTTTAAAATTCAAATAGTTTTGGTGCAACTTCTATTTAGTTAGACATTTTAAAACTTTGAATGAAGATATCTCTACAAACACTCAGTAGAATTCAATGAATTTTTTTTTATTTTGATTCTATAAATTATAAAATTAAAACAAAAAATTTTTTATCGAATTCTACTAGGTGGTTGCAGAGATATCTTCCAAAAAATAAATTCAGATATCCTTTTTTTCTAGCCAATCATTGCTTTTTAATTTTGGCCAATCATCACCTATATCACATGATTCTGCACCACTTTAGATGACCTCCAGAAATAGAGAAAAGGCGCACTAGCAGGTGATATGGTGAACATAAAAAGAAACTATAGAAAAGGAATAGACTTACCGAAATTTGAACACTTTTGGCATTAAACCAATTCTAGTAGATACTAGATATACTAAAATTAGATAAAATCTAAGGAGTAATCTTGGTACCATACTTAGTAAGTTTGCATCGAGAGTAAATTTGAAGGACTATAGATACTTAGTAACATCCAATGAGGTGGTACTTAGATATAAATAATAATTAGATAGCCCTAATCTGTTCTGTTATAATTATAGTAGTATACATTGTATATATATACAGTTAAGTGTTGAAAATCAGAAAGTTTAAAATAGGAGACTTACAGGTAGGCCTCAAGTATGGCATCTAGTGGGTAGCCTATAGGTGGAACCCTTAATTAGATAATGACTAAAGTTATACATATAACTAGTTGTACTTTCATTGATATACCCTGTATATAATATGTAATCTTATACTATTACTAATAAAAAAACATACAGGTGAGACTGTTCTTAAAATTAAAAAAAATAAATAAATTGGATCTAAGAAATAATTTTGATATCATGCTTAGTAAGTCTGCATTGAGGATAAATTTGAAGACTATAAATACTTAGTAACATTCAATAAAGTAGTATTTTGATATAAATAGAATTAGATAGTTCTAATCTAATATATCACTATAATAGTAATATAAATATTGCATATATATGCAAATAAGTGTATCAGAAAGTTTAAATAAGAATTCACAGACAGGTCTCAGATATGGCAACTAGTAAGTAACCTATAGGCAGAACCCTAAATTAGATAATGACTAAAGTTATACATATAACTAGTTGTGCTTTTATTGATAAACTTTGTATATATAAAATGTAATTATATATTACTAATAAAAACATATAGACAAGATTGCTACTTCAAGAAAAAAAAATAATAAAAATAATAAATAAAGATTACAGAAGATAAAGAAAAAAAGAATAAATTATGCACAGGCCAAAGAACAACTAACAGCTAGGCAAAGTAGCTAAAAAGAAGAATAAAAAAGTTTTAATTGAATATTAGTTAATATACAAAGAAAAAAGAAAAATGTTTACAGAAATAAGCAAATATAAAGGTTGTGAAAATGCACAGATACAGACAACAGACAGTTGTAAGAAATAAATACAATAAGATCATAGCATAAAACTATTTCAAAATCAATAATAGAAAAAAATATTAACAGAATTAATATGATGATAGACTAATTTAAAGAAAACAAAACAATAAAAAAATAAAAAATAAAAAAAAAAATTTAACAAAACTCAGACAAGTAAAAGAATTAGAATTAGAAATAATAAAAAAACAAAGATTAAACAATATGCTCATAGACCAACTAATAGAAATCACAGAAAAAAACAAAAAAAAAACAAAAAAAAATAAATTTTTTATACAGACAGAGCACTATACAAAAAAGAAAAAAAAATAGTATAAAGAAAATAGGTATTAGATAGGTACAAATAAAAAAGAAAGATAATTAGTCAGAAAAAAAAGTGATACTAGGTCTAAAAAAGTAATTATCAGCAATATTAGCTAAAATGATAGCAATATGAGCAGCAATTTTAATAGTATTTAAAGAAAAAGATATAGAAATTTATACAGACAGCAATGCAGCAATAAGAAATATTAGTAAAGTATTACAGAATGTAAAAGATAAAAAGCTTCTTAAAAAAGAAATGCAATGTGAATATTAAAGATTACAGAACTAGTTAAAAAAAAAACATCAAGTTGGAATTAATTAAAGTCAAAAATTATAGTAAAAACAGACGAATAATAGAGCAAATTTTCTTTGAAAAAAGAAGCAAGTTGTAAAGAAATAATCCAAATAAAGAAGATTAAATGTAATAAAATAAAATACCAATTAGAAAGAAAAATAAGAAGATTAATATACCTATAAAACTTCTTTGTAAATAATTATAAATATCAGAATAGAAGCTAATTAGTGAGAAACAAAGTTAATTAGAAGTCTAAAACCAGAAACAGTACACATACTGCACTGCTAATTAAGTTTTTAGAAAAAAATGAGTAAACAAAAAAGTATACTGCATTTCAAAAAAACTAAATACAAAAAAAGCTACTATAATCAAATATGTAATGAATAATTTGTCAACATTAGTAAAGTTAAACAGAAAAAGACCAGAAATATATAGAACAACAAAATGTTAAGTTTGCCAAAATAAAGAAAATGAAATTCAAAAACATATAGCAAGCTATAATAAACAAAAAAACTTATAAAAATAAATACAGAAAATATTAACAGCAACAACATAGAATAAGCTTAAAGAAAAAGAAAAAAACAAAATTCTACTATAAGTATTATATAAAACACTATTTAGAGAAACAGAAGAGATAAAAATTTCAAATAAAAAGATGCTAATAAAAAGACTAATTATAATAAAAATAGAAAAAAGACTCAACCAACTGCTAAATAAACAAGTAGTAAGAAAATGTTTAAATGTGATAACAAAAACAGTATAGAATACTTTTTATAATTAAATATGAAGAGTCTAATGTAAAAAAGTACAAAAATTAAAAAAAAACAAATATAACAAATAAGATAAAGAAAGATGTTCATTCAAAAGAAAACTTAACAAAAGAAAAAACAAAATAACAAAAAAAATGAAAAAATAACAAAAAAAAATGAAAAAATGAAAAAAATAGAAAAAACAAAACAAATAAAAAAAAAAACTTGGAAAATGATTAATATACTTATTACAAAAGAAAGAAGACCCTTTTGATATAACTTTAAGTAGTTAGACAAGCAGTCTATCTCTAACTGAGATAGTGCAGCAGGTTGCACTTAAGTACTATTAGGCTAATTGAATAATACTAGACTTATAGTAAATATTGAAAAATTCTATATAATTATATATATATTTAGTTTTAAGAATTTTAATAAAGCATTAGCATAACTGTTTAAGATAAAAAAAAATATGCCAGATTTTAGTAAGTCTTTTTATTGATAATAAAGTAGTTTTAAAGATACTGATAAAAATTAAAAACTTAAATAAACTATGCTTTGAAAATATTCTTATAATACAAATTGAATTACATATACAAAAAATTTAAATAAACAAGACTTTTAGTTGGCTTGCAAATATAATATTTAGTATAAAATTTGTATAGTAATATATAAGCAGACTATTTAAATTAGGTATGAAAAATATATCTATAACTAGTTGTAACTTCATATATAAGAGATTTTTTGAAGGTTTTTATATTTATAATAACTTAAATAAAAAATCATTTTTTAAAGATAAAGACTTTAATATAAAAAAAAAATAAATAAAAAATAAAAATAATAACTATTATAAACATTAGTCTTAATAAATAAAAAAACTGTAGTATGTGGTAACCTAGTAAAATGGTCAGGTTGTCTATTTCCTAAATGGTAGGTTGGGTGTTCAAATCTCATCAATGATGAAAAATTTAAATAATTATTTATATAATATTTGTATTATGGCAACTATTACTAACGATTGAGTTAGAATACCTGTAATGGCAGTTACACTAGCATGACTGGCAGGTTATTAGGCATCTGTATAAATATGGCATTATACAGAGGAATGCAAACTGACAAATCAGATAGTGCAAACACTAGATAAGTTCTTGTAACTATGTAAATTCATTGAAATTAGGTAACAAGAAGTCTATTTGGAAAGACCTAAGTAGAGAGATAGCTAAATCTTTGATGGCCCTACTGTAAAAGCTAGCCTGAAGAAACAGATACCAAAATCATAATACCTAGTCATAGTAGCTAGACAGGCAAGAACTTCTGGATTGGAAGTCTCAAGAGTACTACCAATCAGGTCACTAAAACAAACCAG